CCTACCCCTTTGCCGTGCGCACCTTTGTCTTCGCCATGCCGCTGAGCATGGCCTGCCCCATCATGCTGGAGAGCCTCCTCTTTGACCTCCGCACCCGCAACCCCACGCTCTTCGTCTACTTCTACCGGCGCTACTGCTGGCTGCTGGTGGCCGCGTTCTTCAACGTCAGCAAAATCCCCGAGCGGATCCAGCCAGGGCTCTTCGACATCGTGGGGCACAGCCACCAGCTTTTCCACATCTTCACCTTTCTCAGCATCTACGACCAGGTGCACTATGTGGAGGATGGGCTGGCCGAGTTCCTCAAGGCACCCCTGGATGCCCCCACCTACTTGGGCACTGTGGGGTATATGCTGCTCCTCACGCTCTGCCTGGTCGTGGTTGTCAGGAGGTTCCTCAGCGTTGCAGACCTCTGCAAGCAGGACTAGCTGGGCCGGCGACCCTTGGGACAGCGACCACAATACCAGTGACCCTTGGGCTGGAGACCCTCAGGCTGATGACCTTCAGACTGGCAACCCTCAGACTGGCCCCACCATGTCCTGAAGATGCTGTGAAACCTGGGGGAGACACACCTGTGGAAGAGCCAGGTCCCCTTCACCGAGGGCTGCCAGAGAAAATGACCATGGCGGAACTGCTCATGCTCTTTAAACTACTAGGTTACCAGGGGAAGCAAGCAAACGCTTACTGGTATGTTGCTGCTTAGAGTATAAGCTGAAATAATTTAGCTCTGCTACTAGGAAGAATGCATGAACTGTGAATGCCACTTACTAATTTTGCAACAATTAGGTTTAAACTAGCTCTGTGTATACATATATATTTATATATCTAGCTATGTATTTATTAGCTACATATATATGTGTATATATATATACACCTGAAGACACTTGTGCAATGATTACTCATAGACTTAATCAACTCCTGTGTGAAATCTCCTAGCAGATTATGCACTGACATTTATCTTCCTCTGTGTTACTGTAAACAGGCCTTTGCAGCCACATACTGGATTTTAAATGCAAACAAATCGATAGCTATCTATAGTTTCTAAGGTCTTGCAGCCTTTTCAGCCAGGGAACAAAAGATTTATCTGAGAGAGGAAAAACAGCTGTGAATTATTACAAAATTACCAGTTGATGGAGAGACTTTAATTAAACAGGCAGTGAGTGGTTGGTGTAGCCACTCAGATACTAAAATAAAATAGAGGGATATGTAAAATAACTGAACCAGAAAGGGGTCAAACTAGTTTGGAGCAGGGGCGGGGGGGAGAAGAAGGGCACTGCATAATGACATGGCTCTTCCCCCAGCACGTCAGGAACATCTGTCATGTTAAGGGGCTTGCTAAGGGGCCCCTTTATCTTCCCTGGTAAATCACCCCCAAATCAGCACTTCAGAGTCAAAGTCAGATGCCAGACTTTCTATAAGCCCCTGCCAAGCTCGGTGGGAGTTCTGTGAATGCAAAGAGAGTAACTGATGCATGAGATCTCATTCTGGATCTTTAAAAAAATTACATGGAACTGGTTTCTTCTTCTCTTTAATTAGAGCACTCTGTCAGATTTACCATCCTAAAATTAGTTGCAGAATAAGTTACTGCTGAATCTGAGTTCAGGACCTAAAATCTGTCTCTACAAGTACTGGATACCGGCAGTTTCTCATCATTCCCCACTTTTTCCTATGTTGATTAGCTGCAGCTGCAGTTGGATGAAGTCTTCTTTCAGAAGCTTTGGGGGAGTTTAAAGACAAGAATTCTGAGCTATTTTCCAAAGCAGTATTTTTTCACAGCAACCCAGGTATTATCCTTCTCACACGACAAACAGCTATCTATAGATTGAACTTACTCTCTATATAAAGAGACATTTTTGTAAACTATGTGCAGATTTTCAACAGATACATTTTGATTTTGTCTAGCAAAACAAGGAACAAATATGCAGTAATGTTACACAAGGGGGTGACAACTTGAAGTTCAGGTGAGAAACTGTTTGTATACCCCATTTTCAAAAAGAAGGGTGGTACTTCCTTAGGAAACGCCAGTGTTGTACTGCATGGTAGTGTAGTGGCTCTTTAACTCAGCCTCTTTGCCCCTATTGTGGAAGTACATTTCTGACTGGATCTTTCCCATCTTCATGGACATGGCATCCAAACCTCAAGAAAATGTTTTGAATCCAGTCCTGCAGTCTTCTGTAAGACAAAGCCTCCTTTGTTTATAACAGGAATATAGGAAGGACTATAGCTAGGGATTATGAGGTCAAATCGTTAATATGGGTCAGAATCATCAGAGAAACCAATAACTGATATGTCCTATACCAATGTCAGCTTTGTGAAAATATCCCCTATGAAAGTGCATAAGCTAAAAGAAAATTACACCCACTTCATTTTATCTTTTATCTCAACTTATTTTTACTATAATGGTTTGGATCTTTTAGATTCTCAGTGAATGAGGAGAATGGCCTAACAAAAATATGTATTCTTTGCCAGCCACAGTTCTGCTAGAATATCATTTGTGGTAGGGTCACATGTGGTCTCTTAAAGAGATTGGCTAGAATTTTCTGAAACAACAGTTCCCAAACTGTAGTCTCTTGAGTTATCACTGATGGGCCATAAAAAACCAGCATGGCCCTGTGTGGCTGGCTGTGTTCTGTTTTCATTTGCCAACCTGCATTAAAAGAAAATTAAAACTATATGAAATATTTTTAATTTTACATATTTTCATTAACTTTTGTCATAAATATGGCATTGCTTTATTCAGCTGCCAATAAAGCAGAAAATTATCTGCACCACTGGGAGAGGAGGTTGGTTCACCACACGGTTATGCTTTGAAATGTGCTTTATATTGTGAAAAAACCCTGGAAACTCACAATAGAAAGCAAATGGATCAAGACCTGCAACAATGTCATCCTGTGAATTTCTACAACTGCAAAAAGATGCCAAAATCTTTGAGATGTGCTGTATTCAAGTTAAAATAATAGAGGCACAGTAGTTAGAGCCCAATGACTCATCCAAGTTTCAAAACTAATCATGTAGAAAGGGTTTGCATGGGAGATGCCACTATCACATCCAACCAGCAATTAAAAACTAAGAAAGAAATCAAAAAGGCCGGGGACAGCAAATCTCAGCACTAGAAGGCAGCTCAGAAGCAAGGAACAGTAAAAGTCAAATGTAAAAAAAGGCTTTTAAAGCATACTGTATAATGAATTATATTTGTGCTTGTCAGTCACAATGTAGAGGACATCTCAAGAAGCAATGTCAAAAAAGGCTGTTGCTAAAATACATTTGATATTTGCAGTGAGGCCACACAGGGTCGTCTATATATATCTCGACGACAGATAACAGTATAAAGGTTGGATTGCAACCAACTGCAATTTTGCTGGAATCTTACTGCTGTTGTAAGAGTTGCCTGTGAGCCCCAGTCACGCTGCAGATTTGGTACCTGGCTCTGATATTACGAATTTGGCTTCATTTAAAAGTTTCTACTGGCAAAATGTTGAGGCACGGGTATAGGCCTGAGCACTTTGTGGCATTATTTGTAAATGCTGGTTGCAAGTACTGCTTTTGAGCCTCTGCAAGCAGGCTGTGTGAATCAGGAGTGAATGGGTGCAGGGAGATGTGATTGGATTTTAAGAGTTCTAATTAATGGATGTTTGTTTGTTTAAAATGTGGCTAAAAATTAAAAAGTTACAAGAAGTGTGGAGAGTACCTAGGGAAATGCTACCTGACTGTCTGTGTTTATTCAGTGAAGGACATGTATGTAGATAATTACTCCATTTGCCGTGTCCGATAGCCAGTCTCCATAAATATGGACAGAACAAAACTGAGTTAAAGAGATTAAAAGTGGAACAAGACATCTGTAATTACAGTGCTTGAATTTGCTTGTGTAGAAGTGAATGTCAATATTTGTGTGGCTTGTAAGGGAGCGGGATCTCTTTTTGGTGTGAAAGCATACATGGCTGAACATCTGTAAGCACGTGCAGAGCTTAGACAAGAGGTCTAACCTGCAGACTAGATGCATAAGGACATCCTAGAAAACAAACTTTTTTGCATAAGTACCCATTCCAATGTTTTTATTGCCGGGGTACCTGGCATAAGGTCTACGCTGTGGACTCCACAGTTCATCTTTAAAACCAACAAGGCTTTTCAGGCCTTTTGTTGTGGAATCTGTGTGGGGATGGGGGATGAGGAGAGGACTGGAGCACAAGTGAATGGACTGGAAATGCCTATGTGTCTTTCCATCTTTGGCCAACACTGACTTTCAGACTGACATACCTGTGCCAGTGTGAACTGACTGTTGATGGGGCCAGTTCCCAGCGTGTTGGTGGCACAGACACCCCCTCTTGCAATCAGCATGTGCCTAGAACTGCAGTTTACACATTGGCATCTATTCAGTTAGCCTAGCTCCTGGGCATTTCCGAGCAACCTGTAAGCTTCGAGCTCATCTTTGTGTAAGATGGATATACCTGGTCTGTCATAATTATCCCGTACTCTGTGGCGATACACTATTGCTTCTTCTGCAGTGTATTCATTTGAATGTCTCTATCCAGGATATCTGTGCAGCTCTGAGCTGCTTTGTTAGCAAGACTGGAGTCTGCAGTCTGGAAACAAAGGGAAAGGTTTCATCTGCATGCTGCACTTGTAGAAATTTAGCAGTTAAAAGTAGAAAGACATTGTTTTTTGTTAAAATGATAGTTTTGCTTAGCTGTCCAAGTGTTGTGCTTATTATTTATTTGCTGAATCCAGCTACAATGTTGGGTTTTTGTCAACAATGCACCTGCAGAAAATGACAGTATGAAAGTTTTACTTCATGTTTAAGTAAACTGAGACAGCATATTCATAAACTATTATTGCACTTAACTCAGTTGATTACCATCCACATGCCTTACAGAAGCAAATCATACCTGTAGTAATTGCCCAGATTATACTGGTTTTTATTGCCTATGAGAGTAAAAATGACCAAGTGGTGGTAACAAGCTGAGGAGTCAGGCACTCCTGGGTTCTTGCCCCTGCTCTACCACTACCTGTTCTGTAATCTAGGGCAAGTTGTTCAAACTGTGTTAATTTTGAATTAATTTAATTCATGTAAAACACTGGAATTGTACCAGGGTTGAATTTGACCCTCTGTGTCTCAGTTTCCACATCTGTTAGATGGGGAGAATATACCTTACCTACCTCGCAGGGTTGCTCTGAAGACTAGCTAATGTTTGTAAAGCACTTAAAAATGCAAAGACCCTCCTAGGTGCTAAGAAGAAATATTACTGAACTCCGGCAGAGAGAATGTTGTATTTTTCCAGAGCTCCTCATCTCACAGGGAGAGGAACATGAATGTTTCTAGATCATGAACTCTTGGAACAAACCTTCATCATTGCCATACCCCATGGAGGTTCACATCCTGCGTCCTTTGTAGCTAATGGTGAAATTTCCACTGGCTTCAGATGTGGGGGCA